CATACCGGGTACGGGTTCTGGGAAGTCGGGGGGGGAAGGAGGAAGGGGGTGGGGGGGGGGAGGGAGGGAGGGGTACACACACACAAAAAAAATTGTACTTCAATGTTGATTGACAAATGATGACATATTTGTGTTTTTTTTTTAAAGAAAAAAAAATAAAAAAGTTCTGTTTTTTTTTTTTAAAAAAAGAAAGTTATACACATGGATGGAATATGATGACTAGTAAGGTTTGTGTCATACTTGTGTCCTACCATATGAAGACTGCAATTGCAAACTTATTGTATTGCTATACAAGAAAGTAAATGGCTTAAAGGCATGCCTGGCTAATGGCTATACTGAGACTCATCAGGGAAAGCAAGGTGTTTCTGGATACAGGAGCCCTGGAAAAGGATTCTGGCAGCATGAAATTGACAAGACTTAATGAACCTGTACTTGTAGCTGAAATTATTTTGCCAACTCCAGGTTCTGTTACTGGAGGATAACTAGCAGATTTCTGGATAATGTTTTCACCCAGCATTCCAAAGACAGAAAGGGCAGAAGCTCAGGCTCCTATTGAGGTGAGGAATTCAATGGCTGTTCCAAAGAATTGCCATATGTGGTGAGAGGTGACTCATTCCTGAGAGGAACTGAGGTGGCACTCTACAGACCAGGCAAGGTATAAAAAGAAGTGTGTTGTCCCTAAGATACAAAGATTCAGGATGTAATGTAGGTTTTGTTAAAAACGTCATTCTAAACAAATCTTACTGTTTTTTTTGACAAAGTGACTACAATAATAAACCACAGGAATTCTATGGATATATTTCTTCCTTCATAAAATTCACCAATGGATGGTTGGTTCCACTATTAGCAGTAGCTGGACTTGCAGCTGATCAACTTCATATCAATATGGCTTAATGAGGGGATAGAAAGAATGTGCCTCTAGTTTGCAGATGACACAAAGCTGGAGAGTGGGGATGGGAAAGGACAAATTGCTAACACTTCAAAAGAAACTCAAGATTCAAAAGGGTCTTAATAGACTTGGACATCAGGCCCTATCAGAGGTGGATTGCTGCTGGTTCAGTAGTGGATCCCACAGTAGTGGAATTCAGGCCTGGGTCGCAGAACTGGCAGCGACCCAGGCCTGACATGCCCCCGAACTGGTCTCCGGTGTCTTCTGCCATTGCTGGCATGGTTCTGCATATGCACAGAGCATTTTTTAGTCAAATGCGCACGCACAAGCAATGCACGACTGACATGCATGAGAGGGAAGTGAGCAGCGCACACACAGCGAACCAATACTAACCAGTTCAGGACCCCTGGGCCCTATCCAATAAAATGCAGTACAATGGCAAAAAATGTAGGGTTCAGTACTTAAATAGCAAACACCAGATTCACAAATAAGTAATATTTGCCTTGACAATAATATTTGGAAGAAACTAAGCACACTAGTAGACCATAGAGCCAGTCTGCTGCAGGTACCAAACAGTTAATATAATATTAAGCTGCATCAAGAGAAATACAGTGTCAAGACCACAGGAAGTGATAGTTCCATTTTACACTGCACTGATTAAAAGACAACAGGAGTACTATGTTCACCCTTGAGTCACCACAATCAAAGAAGTATGTTACAGAACTAGAAAGAATGACTAGAAAAGCAGCAGTGATGATTGGAGGGTAAAGTCTATGAAAATTGGTACGTGAACCAGATATTTAACTTAAAGAAGACATGGGTAAGCAAAGACAGAACAGCAGTCCTCAAATAATTGGAGAGCTGTCATAGAGAAGAAGGTATCGCTTTGTTCTTCACAGCTTCCAACAGTAGAATAAGAACCAACTGATGGAACCTGTAGAAGGCATAGAGAATGACTTTGAAGGATAGGAAGATCCATTACAAGGAAACAATCAGACAAGCACCTATTGAACCCATTCCAAGAAACATGAAGATGCCTCAGATAGGCTTCTCTTTAATCCATACAAAGATAAAGTGAGGAAAGCATATTCAGACTTGCAATATTCTGTCACTATAGCTCAGAGGTCGCCAACCCCTGGCACCGGGCCCCAGTCATTCCCAGGAACCTGGCCACACAAGTGAATGAAGCCCCATCCACGTAGGTATGGAATGCAGCACTGTGTAAAACTATGCCTTTCAGAGCCCGCAGAAAAACCACTTTCCATGGAACCAGTCCCTGGCGCCCAAAACATTGGGGACTGCTGCTGTAGCTTGTCTAATAAAAATAAAAATAGCTTTAAGACCCATATGACATTTCTTTCTCAGTCTGGTCTGCCTTAAAGTGCTGAACTTGAAGTAAGAAGGAATTTCTTGATAGTAGGAGCTATTGAGCAATTGAACAGACTGCCTCGTGGAATTATGGCTATTCCCTCACTGAAGGTTTTTAAATAATGATTAGAGAGTCATTTGTCACGCTGGGATGATCAGAGATGTCACGAGCTTCCAATGTCCTTTCTGACCCTATCATTCTGTAATTCTTTGTGACATGAGAATTTATAATCTAAACTCATAACTTAAATTGGAGATAAATATACATTTAATTCTAGCCCAAATAGCATATTTATGTTGCATTTGTATGATAAATATTTCTACTTAATATTTGTCACTGGCAAATACTAATAGCAACATGCAGAAGATACCTTTTATTGAATCACATAATAAATTTAGTATAATTAATGTCTGAAAAAAAGAGAACACAGTACATTTAAAACATACCACATTCACTAGCAGATCCTCCCACCAGTTGGAAAAATTGCTGAGCAATTTTCAAATGATCTCTCTGAAAAAGAACAGTATAGAAATAGGGCTTTTATTGTGCTGATAAATATTTTTCCCTTTCTATTCCCTGAATGCCTACTAGTTCCCTTCTACATCATGCTCATGTTGTTTTCCATTTTCTCCTCCCAAAATGTTTTGATGTTAATGACCATATTCAGTTATCATTGTTTTTTTAAATTTCTGTGCAAAACTTTATTTTTTTGAAAATAGATGAGCCTTCCCCAAGCATGGTTATATTTCCTTTTTGTTTCTCAGTAGCTCTAGTTTGCCTAAAACAGTTATAATTAACTAACATAAGAAATGTATGTAAGAAAGGATCAAGTTAAAATCTGAATCAGCTTCTGTGTTCGATTTGGCCATTTATGGATTCTTTATAAATTACTAGTAACTGTTATACTCACTGAACCCATTTCCTGTCCAAGTACTGCATTCACTACTCCTTTCAGAATATATTCCTAAAAATATTGGGAAAAAATAATTAAATTTTGCAATTTGTTTCCTGATGCTTAAAGCCATTTTCAATTTTTTTATTCAAATTACAGGGCAAATACATAAATATATGAATCAGATATCTTTATGGATTATAATTATATCAAGTTAAATATAAAAGGTACTCAAACCATTAAAAGGCTGATCAGCCATCCCTTTAATTCTTCTGCTAAAATTGTAGGTGTATTCCATTATACAAGCATATGTTTTAATTTAACCACCCAGTTTCCAGAAATTTATCTTGGCATCTTCCAGGTTCTTAAAGTATGTATCAGCTAAAGAAACTATTTTTAAATAATAACTAACAATAATGAATTTGAAATAATCAGAAAATGGAAATATCCATAAAAATCTATAAAAGTCACTTAAATGGAACATCAACCGTCAATTGTTTTACTATAGTTTTTATCATACAATTTCAAAACTTTAACCAAGTACAGCTTATAGTATTGTTTTGATCACTCTTAAGTATGAAGAAAAATTCAAAATAGTTTTCATCAAGAATAAATTAGCTGTACTTTGTTGCATTAAAATATGTGACACAAATGACAATTCTTTTTCCATACTGATTTTAACACAACCTACTTACACTGATCTACTTATCTTAATTACTTTGATCCACATATCTTTTTTTAAAAAATGGAAGGCAACAAATAAAAAATAGATGATACAAGAATTTAATTCTATTCTATAACATTTCAAAAATATTTTCTTCTATTTCCATTTATTTTCCATTTATTGAATTTATAGGCTGCCCAATCTCGGAGGACTCAATGAATGTATCAATGAATAAACTTTTTTAACCTGAGGGGTTGCAGGTTCCAGGTCTTTAATCAAGTTGTAAGCCTCCTGTACATCATCTGAAATAATATGATACAGTATATATAATATTACAATATATAATACTAAACTTCTCCCATACTTTTATTAATCTATTTACAAAAAAGATGGTTAATATTTGTATAATATTATTCTTTAAATGTTACAATAAGTGAGTGGTGAGTAGGAGGAAGGGAGAAGAGGGAAGGATAGCGGGGCTTCTAGGAGAAGTCCAACTGGCTTTCCTTTTGGCGTGGGGTGGGAGAAAGACCCAATAAAAATCCAATTTCTCCCAATAAATGGGGAAAATAAAGGCCCGGTGGTCCAGAGTCCAAAAAGGGGGTCTGTTTGTCGGAGGATTGGAGACGAAATCAGTTGAAATATGGGCTGGAGGCTATTCAGAGAGGAATCTGTCTGGGTATCTTCTTCCCTCCCCCTTAGATTCTCCCCACCCGGCTTTCTTCCCTAGCCTCATTTTAAGGGGAGGGGGAAGCAAGGTGAGACAATAGTAGCTAAAAATCTGCAAGGGGGGTTAGGGTTTATTAAAAGTGATGATGGAGAAAAGATGCCATTCCTTTCCCAAGGACCCAGGAAAAATGGAATAAAAATACGTGTATGTGTGTGTGTATAATAGCCTGGGATAGCTTCAGCCACAAACAACAGCTGCTGTTATTTTTGCTGAGAGCTTCTAAGCTACACAGCATTCTTTAGTAAATATTAACAATAACATAATATACAGGATTAAAGGAAGGAAGGTGAAATCAGAGGTGGGAAGGAAAGAGTAAGGATGTGATGTCCCTCCATAGGCATCTGCACTACACTTCCATCATTCCTGAGTTATGCTATTAAAGAAATCCAGTGCTACCAGGGAGAAGTCAGTTGTGAAAGAGTGATTGAAATTTCTCACAAAACCTCATTATTCAGGTTAAATTGCCATGTTGGCACTTTGTGATAACTAAGTGGGTTTTGGGTTGCAGTTTGGACACTCGGTCCCTAAAAGGTTCGCCACCACTGCCTTAAAGAATCCCATATGTTTCTCCAAGGATATCCTGCTTGACATCGTTTGTTAGCTCATGAAGCATCACAAATAAAAAATAGTAAGCAACTGTATCCTTCCCAATAATCCCCAAAACAAAATACATATGTTTTCTATTTGGTAGAAAAATATCACTAAAATATGAACAGATATATAAAATACATAAAATATATTTAGATATAAAAATGTAAAATGAGATATATAGATTTTTTTTCACCTTGCCGAAGATAATAAATGACTAGATTCAGTCTAGCTTCAGGAATGACATCAACCAGTGGAGGGAGTACTTGGAGAGACCCTTCCCCTCCTCGGAATACCACCTGTAAGTAGAAGTACTCAATGTATTAGTATTGTAGCAAACAAGTTACAATTTAATTCCATGCATGTTTTAAATATACTAAGCAGTTTATTATGAACAATGAAAATATGTCACTTATTATTCCATTTCTTTTGTAGTTTACAGATTGAACATTCACCGCAGAAATCATAGTGACATCTTTATTATTTAATGCTATCAATATATACAGCACTTTCATACACAGCCACTATATATACATTCCAAAACTTGGATACAGTGATAAGAGAGAAAAAAGGTCAAGCAAAAAACCTTGCAGAAAACATGGATTTTAAGGTGGGAAGTAAAAGGTGACATCAAGTATATGGTCTGTGAGAGAAGAGAGTTTCAAACAGCAACAAAGATAAGAAAGAGTAACTAAGAATATTATCTGACATCTTAAGATGATAGATTTAGATAAGTTAAAATCATTACTAGGATAATAAGCTATAAAACATCTGATAGCTGTAGGATTAGCAAATAAGAGAGGGAATGAGAAGCTAGTAAAAGAGATATAAGGAAGAATTGTGCATGGAATAAATAAATATATCTTTAAATTATTTTGGCTTGTGGAAAAAGTTAATTTCAAGAAAAATCATCATAACCAGAATCATAAGAGAAAATATATCAAATTTACAGAGTTAACACCATCTGAAAAATGACACATCTGAAAAATTACATCAAAATGAAGCTGGTGGGACACATAAGATCACATAAGGTTTTTGAAGAAATAATAAATATTTGAACATAATAGAAAAAGAACTTAAAATCAGGAATAGGCTAATGATAGTGCATGAATATGATAATCAATGGAATTTCTTTTTCAGGAACTCTTCTGTGAAGTGCAACTTTTATAGTTCATTCCCAATCAATAAATTACTCTTCTAGACAAGTTGACCAAACAGTACTTTGATCATGTGCATGATCTGCATAAGTTACATTATATGAGCTACCTCATTGCTACTTACCAAGTTATGCTTAATGAGCTCTTTAGCAAATTCAAATGATGTTGAGGCACTGTCCATCAAACTTTTAAGCTCTGCCTAGTAGTTTTAAAGAAATTTTAAAAACAGACAATTGGTTACATTATCAACAGTGGTAACCAAAGGAATAAACATTTTGCTTAAATGAATATACAAAATACTATAGGATTAAAATGTTTGTTCTGCATAGTATCAGGAACAATAAGAAATAGCTATGCACAAACAATTTGCATTTCTCAAGAATAGATACTAAAATGTTATAGCAAAATTTAAACTTGGATTGAGGAATGATTTGAGAGATTAAACTATAGTAACAAAATACCTCAGCAGCTTTTCCATTGTAGAGTCGGAAATGATTACAAGCCTTTAAGTTAAGAGCAATAGTACTATCAGGAACCTGTTGAAGGTAAACAGCTAGCACTTCTTGAGAGACATCATAGTAATCCAGCTTGTAGTAACACAAGGCCACATATACATTGAGGGCCAGATATTCCCTGCCAAATCAAAGTTCAACAACATATTAATATAACTTATTGCTTTAGGAAATTCAACTAAGTTTCAGTGATATAAAATTTAGAAAAGCCCAGTCTATAAATCTAAGTATAAAAAAAGACTCCAAATATCCAGCCCCCTTCATTACAACTTCAATGAGAATCAGAATGGCACAAGATATTAATACCTTTATCTTGCTACAAACTGTGATAAAGTAAATGTCTATGGTATAGGTATGAAACTCTCAACTAATGGGACACTAAAATTGTTGCCTAGAATCCTGGGCATATAATTTTACATTTGATTAAAAAAAATGTTTTTTTGTTTTGTTTTGTAAAACATCAGAAAAAACATATAAATTTATATTATATTGTTTTTAACTGATCAAGAAAAACAATTTGGAATTATAGTGGATAACTCACTGAAGATTGACATAGTGTGCAACAGCTGTGAAAATGCTGTTTTCCATGGAGAATTCAATTGAGAAAGGGGACCAAATGAAAATAAATGTCAATATTTATTTAAAAAATAAATGGCTCTCTTGAGCCATTTCTGACTCCTATTTGCTTAACAGTAACAACTTCAAAATGATTCGCTCCCATCACAAATTAAACTATTGACATGAAGAAAGACTGGGGTAATTCAGATTAGATATTTAGGTGGAAAGTTTGCTCCATTCGTTTCTTGCCCTTGATAAGTATCTAAAGTTGGATTCTAATTCTCATCTTTCTCTTTTTTTAATCATAATCTAATTTAAACAGGGGAAAAACCCCATGATTGAAGTATGTCCTGCTAGAGTTATCCAACTATTTAAAAATTATTTTTATATCATTTAAAATTTGCACAAGGTAAAATATCAAAAAGTAATTGTTCATTAAAAAAATAACAGCCCCAATCCTAACCACATATATCTAATACGAATCTATAATTGTATCTTAATTAGCATTTTTCCTTAAGTGTCCACATTCCCTGCATGTTTACTAAACTCAGAACTCACTACTGGATCAAAAATGTAAAGAAGATTTTACAGTAACATTTTAAAGATGGCTCTCAGAAGGCAATATTTAAACTCAGCAAAAGAGAGCTAAAACACTGCAAGATCGAAAAGCCCTCTGAAATTATGTGTTTCAGCTTTCTCCTCCGAATTATCTGTTAAACAGATAGAGACAAGTTGAACCAACCTGTTATCAAGCAGTATGCGCTTGTAGATATCAATAGCTTCTTGATAATGAGATCGCATATAGTGTATAGATGCTAAACTAAGCTGGTCTTCTGTTATATCCTGCAAATTCTGATGGAAGTTCATCAGTTTCTTCTCATCACCAAACTAAGAAGGAAATATGACTTAAAGACAGAGACAAATGCATGCCTTACATATATTCTAATACTTTGTCTGCTGAAAATAATGATAACCACCTTTCATTAGAAACCTATCATTTTTCCAGACTTCAGGCAGTCATCTATTTCTTAATTATCTTAATTCTTGTCACCATGAAACTTTCAGGCTTTCGACTTCTGTGCTCATTTAGTACTTCAGCTCCTCATTTCAGCATTCTACTAGATAACTTCTTTCTCAAACAAGTTTTTCAGAATTTGAATAGTAAGGTGAAGGTGTAAAGGTTGCTGTATTTTTATGAAGTGGCAATGCAGCTTAGAATAGTATTAGGAGTATGTATATATGTAAGCTGAGCAAAAGTGAATAAATTAATTGTAACAAAATCTCCATGGTACAGAAAGATATAGTGAATGGTGTTAATGTCAACTACGTTTAGTTAAGTTTCTTTCTTTCTCCTTTCTTCTTATCTGTAACATCTTTTGCTTCCTTTTTTTCAAGTACCGTGCATTATATTGCTTGCTTTGAAAATAAATCACATGATGGGTATTTATAATATTTTAAATAACATTTGGTCACATGATGGGAACTGGATTTCAAAATACTTCAACTACTTCCAAATCTGATCCAATGTTTTGAAATACATACCTTGTGTGCTAGATGGAACAACATACGATTCTGAAGTCTACTCTTAGGACCTGAAAACAAAATTAATACCTAGGTTCTCAAACTTATTAATTCATATGCCTCATTTTCACAGTGTAAACAATGCCCCCACTCACTTCCAGTAAGTGCTCCTGAATTTATTGCCAGTAAAAATAAATAAAAAGCAACCATAATCATGAGACTCACCTTTCAAAGCAGACTGTTCAGCTTGTGTATACATTCCCAAGAAGAAGTAAGTGCATGCTAGATTCACCCACACATCAGGATTGCAGGCAGATCCCTTGGTTAAATTCTCATACTCCTTAAATAAATAATAATTTTTGATACAGCCTTGCTTAATCATCACAGACAAATTTATGCTTTATTTCTTCTTACAACCCAGCCAGAGCACATAAGAACTGTAAATAAGTAAAAAAATATAAACAGAAATGACTACCATGTCCAATGCAGATATATTTCAGTTATCATCAAAACTTTGAAAAAGCTGCATCCTTTTAATTGCAGCTACTTTTAGGGCTTTCCCAAATCATTTCTACAAGTGTGTGCATGTAGAGCAGTTTTGCTCTATTAGAAGTACCAAGAGAAAAGTTTTATGTGCATGCATATGTACAAGAAACCTAGAAAAACCCAAAAATAGTTGTATGGTATTACCTGGAAGATACTGCTATTACTTCTGCAGTTTAAGAAGAAAAAAAATCACTCTAATCTGCTTTGCAAAACATCTGTTTAAGTATGCCTTTAAGTCTGTTTAAGATGCCGTGACTCAGTGGCTAAGATGCTGTGCTTGTTGACCAGAAACTTTGGCAGCTCGGTGGTTTGAAACCCTAGTGTTGCATAACAGAGTGAGCTCCTATTACTTGTCCCAGCTTCTGCTAACCTAGCAGTTCGAAAGCATGTAAAAATGCAAGTAGAAAAATAGGGGCCACCTTTGGTGGGAAGGTAACAACATTCTGTGCACCTTCAGTGTTTAGTCATGGCCACATGACCATGGAAACATCTTCGGACAACTCTGGCTTTTCGGCTTTGAAACAGAAATGAGCACCGTCCTCTAGAGTTGGGAACAACCAGCACATTGTGCGAGGGGAACCTTTACCTTTTAACTTTGTACTATTATAGTTTTCGTCTTCTTGTGCCATATGTCATTGGACGTTAGCAATTCTATTTTTATCAACAGCCACACAAAAAAGTGCTGTTGAGTTTTGTCCCTTAGATTTTGAAGCCATGATGGTCTTCTTCTGCCTGGACCTCATTTGCCTTCAATCTTTCCTTGGAAGATTAAATGAACTATGCCATATTTTTCTGGGTATCGCATCACATGTCCAAAATATTCTAACTTTTGCTTTTTTATGGTTTTGATTATTTCCCTTGGTTTTTCCAGGAGACTTATCATCTCATTTCTGATTTTTGTCAATCCAATTTATAGTCAACAATTTTCTTCTACAATATCTAAACATATATTCAACTAGATGCAAGCCTTTGAAATACTGATATTTTATCTTACTTATTCTGGTCCATGAGATACATTATAGTCTTACATTTTATTCTTCACAGATAATAAATTTGAGGAACAATGTTACTAGTGACACAGTCATAGTGACACAATGATGTGTAAATTAATTCCATTTTCTCTTATAATGATTTTCTTTGAATATTTTTCTCATATAAACATAGAATTTTGAAAAACAGCAGACCATAAATTAATACATTGTATTTCATAAATAAGTCAAAATAATAAACTATATATAATTTATTCAGTAGGCTTCTGGGCACAAAATATTATAACCAATATTTTTGCTTTTATATTACTTTGAGGAACATTTACAGGTAGTCCTCGACTTACAGAGATTTACTTAATAACTATTCGAACTTACAACGGCACTGAAAATAGTGACTTATGACCATTTTTCACACTTATGATCATTGCAGCATCTCCATGGTCATGTGATTTACATTTGGATGCTTGACAACTGACTCACATTTATGATGGTTTCAGTGTCCCAGGATCATATGATCACCTTTTGCAACCTTCTGACAAGCAAAGCCAATGAGGAAATCAGATTCACTTAACAACCATGTTACTAATTTAACAAATGCACTGATTCACGTAACAAATGTGGCAAGGAAAGTTGTAAAAGGGGGGGGGTTCAATAAATTTCTCACTTAGCAACATAAATTTTGGACTCAATTGTGGCTGTAAGTTGAGGAGTACCTATCCTCATTCTTACAAATTTAAGAGAACATCCTCCTTTTCAGGACAAAGTAGCACTACCTCACCTCTAGTGCTCTCTTGTAGTCACCCAGATGGAAAGCACAATATCCAATCCAGAGATCTGCATCTTCCTCCTGTTCTCCAACCTGATTCTTAAACTTAGGAAGAAGGCAGAATAGAAATTAAAGTGATATCCAACTGTGACCAAGTTCATATAATTTTTAATTATTTTAAAATGACAAGTTTATAGATTGCAATTGTACAGTATAAACAAATCTAACCTTTTCCGCAATGATGGGGCTTTAATTTAGACACTCTCAAAAATCTGTATATATGATGTTCATGCACAAAAGAAGGGCTCACATTTAAATTAAGTAATTAGATGTTTACAAATATTTAGATAGCCAGTTTTTATGGCTGTCAGGCAGAAATTTATTAAGGTGATCATGAATATGATGTGCCATTAAGCAACACCACAATTTTTCTAAGATGATATTAAGGTCATAGTTAGCAAGTTTACTTTATTGTCATTGCACCTCGTACAATGAAATTAAATGCCATCTTCAGTGTACATTATAACTATAAAAATAAAACAAACTCACTTCCTTCACATTCTATACAATTGAATTTGAAACCTGATATAGCATTAATATTGCAATATACAGTAGAATTCATTATAGTTACTGCCCTGGGATAGGACCTTGGATAGAAGCTATTTGTCCTTATTTTTATTATCCTGTACCATCTGCCAGATGGTAAAAGTTAAAAAAAAAAGGGTGCCCAGGATGGATCTTTAAGAATGTTTTGAACTTCTTAAGGCAACGGGAGCTATAAAGCTCTTCCAAAGTGGGGAAAGGGCAACCAGTGATCCTCTGGGCAATAACGTTAACCCTCTGGAGTGCTGTCCTATTTGCCACTGTGCAATTGGCAAACCATACACAGGTGCAGTAAGTTAAAATACTTTCTATGATGCAGCGGTTGAAGGTCACCAGCAGTTTTTCATTCAGTTGTTATTTCCTGAGAAGTCTCAGGTAGTATAATCTCTGCTGGGCCCTTTTGACCAGTGCTGCAATGTGAGTGCCCAAGGTCAGGTCCTCTTTTATGATAACACCCAGAAACTTAAAACTGGCCACTTGCTACACCCGGTCTCTATTGATAAGCAAGGGCTGGATGCCTGATCCATTCCTTCTATAGTCCATTATAATAAGCTCCTTGTCTTATTGCCGTTAAGGACCAAGTTTTTGTCTCCACACCACAAAAACAAATGGTCCACCAAATCTCGATAGGCAGACTCGGAGATCAGTCCCACCACTGTTGTATCATCTACAAATTTAGCAATAGTATTATGAGCGTGAGTGGGAATGCAGTCATGCATATAAAGAGTATAGAGTAAGGGACTCAACACACAACCCTGTGATGTACTAGGATTAAGAATAAGGGCTGAAGAGATATGATTACCTAATCTGACTCTCTGAGAGCGGCCAGACAGGAAATCCATAATCCAAAGGCAGATTGAATAAGAAAATCCAAGATCCATAAGGGCCTCCATACGATCAAGCTATTTTTCACTGTCAGTTAGGCAGTACTCATTAGCTCATTAAGCCACAATATGAGTGAAGTCCAAAGTGTGGTTACAATACATTCATTCCAGCTTTGCTTTTCTCATTGCAAATGTAGGTTTTTAAAAAGGCAACAACATTGTAATTTGATTATCCTTACATATCTGCATGTAACTACCATAATGAAGCGTTGACACAAACAGTTTATGATGCAAACTTGACTCTTTTGTATTTGCATCATAATGTGTTAATCATAGAACATTAATCATACAACTGAAGAAAACAAGCTAGGAATTTATAAACTAATATATTAAATAAATTTAATCCAAATTTGTTCAGATGCAATAATTATATTTTCACATTCAGAAACAACACTAAACCATTCATATATGAACAAACACAGCGCTCATTCATGTTGCAGTTTAATAATATTGCTTCTGTTGCATTGCTCTCAACAAGGAATAAACTTGTAGAACAACTACTGCATTAGCGTATGGCTATGTTCACACATGATAAACTAGGAATTTTGGCTTATTACAAAGTGAACAAGCAGTTTATCCTACCTTCTCCAGCAAATTAAGATGGTTGCTCTAAAATCTTAATTCCTAAACTGATAAAGTCATTATAAACTATCTTGTTTATAATCTTGTGATTTAGATATGGATACAGTAGTTTCCTTATTACTGGTAATACATCATCAGTCTACACACTAGCTTGAAGGCTATATTTAATCTATAGCAAGGAAGATAAATTGTAATCTGTGGATTATCTGGGGCCACTGCATAATGTGGATAGATGTCTATAGAGATTCTCAGTCATTCTGGTCATGGTTGTCCCAAAGGTGCTTTTTCAAGAGGCAATTGGACTTTTTGGTTTTTCTTTTAAAGACGTTTTCGTCGAAGTTTCTTGGATGAGAAGTGAAATGTCTTTTTTAAAAAATCAGAAAGTCCAGTTCTCTTTTGAAAAAGCACCTTTGGGTTAGACACTAAATTTACTTCTATTTTGCAGAGGTGATATTTGCCACCCTGGAAAATCAGAGAAGCAAAAAGCACGGATGTTCTCAGTCTGAAATGACTGAAGTAGCAAGAAGGTGGCTGGACAGCTCCCCCCCCCCCCAAAAAAAAAGCACTGCTCTGTTCGGAAAGAAGTATAAACAAATATGATAGCAAATATGCAGAAGCGGCGGCAGCAACTCCACTTGCAGAACTCTCGTCCCGCCATATTCCCCAAATGTATCTCTAGTAGTACCTCTAAAAGGGCAATGGCCCCAGTGAAATCTCGCTGAGTTAATAAATCTTCCAGCTGCGGCAGCCGTTTGCCTTTCTTTCTGCGCTTATCCGCTGATGGGGGGCCGCCTCCAACAGCGGGTTTCAGCCGTGAGAGCATCTGCAAAAGCGACAGAAATAAGAACAAGGTAAAGGGGATAGGGCTCCGCTAGTCTTTTTCGCCTTCTTTAGAAAAGCCCCTTAATCTAGCCTTATCCGATTCTTCTTGTCCCTCACCATCTTGCCCACAGGCCCGCTCCACAAAAACCAACGGCCGTCTGTTGCTGTTCTGCCTCACCAAGGTCTCCGTTACCATGGCAACCGCGCGAAGGGTGGTAGTTAGGGTAAGGCAATCTGGCCTGGGAGACAGCCACAAAAGACCGGGCGGCAACTGCGAGTCATACTTACAGTTCCGGCGGCTCTCCGACAAAATAGTTTTGGGAAGAATCTCAGAAATCCAAGCGCATAAGTGACGTGAAGAGGCGTGTACCCTTTCGTGGTTTAGGAGGGCGAAGAAAGGAGAGTCCCAATTCGACGGGAAAGCTCCGTTTTCACGAAATGCTGACTAGCTGTATCTTGTCTAATGACACATTTTTGCAAGAAAAACCATTGCGGTAGGCATCTCTGCAGAGTTGTTTATGTAGTTGCTGCTACAACTGACTCCGATGTGTCGGAAAATGAGTCAGATATCATCACCCAACAAAGATCTACTTACTACAATATGTTATGATCGCATATTTATTTGGAGACAGCTAGGTAGACTTGTATACAGTTATATGCTTCACATTTATATTTTTATATTACAACAAAATAATACTCCCAAACAAGACACAATAAAGCATCTGAGGAGGGCATGAAGGCAAATGACATAATGTGTTGTGACCTGACATAAAGCCTATGATTTAACATATCTCCAAATGAGTAGAACTAAAAAAAAATCACTATGTTGGTATCATTAGGAGATTTTTATCTTAAATAAACACGGCACCCGGCTTGTGCAATTTCTTCATCATTGTTATTACTTTCAGATACTTACCGTCCAAAGGTTTATTTAATTGCACCACTACTGCACACATAGAACAACATTTAGAGAATGTATGAGCAGTTTATGGCAGTTTATGGCAGTTTAATGATATAAAATCAGGGAAGTTAATGACAAAAATCATACTACAATTTTATACATGACCTTGGAAATAAATGTCATTTTTTCCAATTAAATGTATTCCCTACATCAGTCTGAATTAAATTCTATACTTTAATGAGTTACCATAGAGCGACAGTGATGATTTATACATGTGTGCTTATTTTAAAAAAATGATGCCTGATTTATGTACCATATTGAATTTGTCACTTCAACAAATGCAAAAAATGGGGGGGGGCATGAAAAATATCTATTTATTTAAGATACTAGAAATATCAAGAGCAGTAATGTTTTTTCCTGTGTTTTCTGTTTTCACAATGATTGCTACCTAGAACTGAAGAAATCGATAGTATACAACTGTTTTAAATAAATCAATGTTTTGGTCCATGATTCTTTTCTCTCAGAGTTATTGCAGAGCAAAAGAGAAATCTATAGATCTTCTTTATGGCTAAGTTAAAATGCTGTCTACCATCCCTTTGCCAGGGAAAAATTATACTGGTATTAAATTTGTTTCCACAAATCTGCCACAAGCAAGATTGCAAATGTGTTATTCTTATTAAATGTATATTGTACATTTAATGACAATGATGATGGATTCTCTCAGTTTTATTGTACTCTGCTACTAATTATCACCAACTGTGAAAAAAGAAAAGAAATCCACCATTTTTTCTCTTTAATATGGGCTGTGGAGGAGACAATTTTTGCCAGATGGCTAGACCATTAGATTTTACAGTGGATTTTCCATTTTCCGTAAGACCATTATACTATGTTTATTGAAAAGGAACATAGGTATAGCACTTCAGCATACCAATGCGCTAAATGAAATGGAGCCAGATGCAACTTTTGACTGAAATGAAGAAGAACATGGTAAAATAGATTGGTAATATTCAACATATATGTGGAATATATATTGAGGAATATATATTGCATTAGAAGATGGTATAATTTTAAAATCAAAAGAAGAAATATTAGTTACTTGCATTGTGCTGACAGTACTACATACTCTGATAGTTGTAATGCAAAAGATCTGCAAGTTCTAACTATGAAAGTAAAGAAGCATAATAAAAAAATATGGGACTAAGCTTAAATATAAAGAAGAGCAAATTAATGACAGGTATAATAATCATCCCTAAAAATTGACAATAAAGATACTGAATATCTCTTACTTTTTAGGATCAACTATAAAGAATAATAGAGCCAGTTTTTGTGTGTAGCAGTTAAGGGTAATAACTAGAGACCATGGCAAATCATATCTGAAAAACCTGGCCAAGAAAACTGCAGGGACCAGTCTAGGCAGGCACCTAGAGTAAAAAAACAGACTTGAAGGCACACACTCGCATTCATGTGCACATTCACACAGCATTGACAGACAGATCAAGAATATGTTGCAGAGTAGCCCTTGGAAGAGTAACAATGAAGGCTGTGGAGAAGATATTCAGATACTGGAATGTGGTTACTATACTACACTAGCAAAGATCAGAAATATGCAAACAATAGGCATTGGAGAATCTGGCTGTCTGATCCAGGCATTTGGGTCAGGTCAGGTGGCTAGATTAAATTATTTCACTACTGATTATGAGTGTGCTGACTATTTATTCTTGGATTCCAGGGGTTATATTTGATGAGTTTTATAATCTTGTAAGCTGCCCAGAATCTCTTATGTAAGATAGACAGCTATATAAACCATAAAAATGAAAACAAATTATAAAAGCACAGGCTCTTTTCTGCCATAGTTCAGCAGTATTAAGAACAGTGTGGAGACTCATTGAGACAAAGTCTCAAGGATAATCAGTATAGAACTGATATGGGGTGGGAAGCAAACAGTCATTTTAGAGATTATCTGGTTGTTTTTGGGAAATAAATCTTCCTGGAGAGGAAATGGCTTGTGGACAATTCTAGGGGCAGAAATAATTTTCTGTCATAGAAGATTTATTTCTGGAAAACCATAAAACCACCACTAGAATATACTGTGTTTCTTATGCTAGTTTTACCATGTTAAATGATTGATGCCCCAACAATCATCAAAAAACTTTGTAAAAAAAAAATCTGCACTGGTGTTTACTAAAAAGTCTATTTTGTACATTTCTAATATGTAACATTTTCTAATACAAAAGCAAAGTATAAAAAGGCAACACAGAATTTCTACAGAGTAATAATTGTGATAGAATATCCATTCAAAGTGAGAGAAAAAGGGAAGTTCAAGCCACAACCACCACCTGCATGCACTTTTCTCATCCTCCACTGTTAATAAACGTTGGGAACAAAAACCTCTACCCATACAAAGAGCTAGAGAAGAAAGTTAAAGAATTAGGATCACAAGTGGTGTTTTCATCTATACTTCCAATGCAAGGCCAACATCCAATGAGGGAGCAAAGGATTTTAGAAATGAACCACAAGATGGCAAGGAAGTAACAAATAGCAGAGAGAAAGCAGAACTGCTTAACTCATTCTTTGCATCAGTTTTCATGCAAAAAGAAACTATAGCCCAGTCTACCAAAAACCTAACCGTAAAAGACATACTAGAAATAAAAATTAAAATAAGCAAGAAAATGGTTAGAGAACACATCTGATTTTTATGAATATAAATCACCAGGACCTGATAAATTAAACCCCAGAATGAGCTGGCAGATGTTATCTCAGAAACATTGTATCATATCTTTAAAAAATCCTGGACACTAAGGAATTACCTGTGGATTGGAAAAGGGCTGATATGGTTTCCATCTTAAAAAAAAGGGGGGGGGAACCAGACCCAGGAAACTACAGACCAATCAGCCTAATATCAATACTTGAGAAGATACTGGAAAAGATAATTAAAAAACAGATCTGTGAACATCTAGAAACGAATAAAGTTATAACTAAAAGCCAGCATGGGTTTGTTAAAAAAAAGATTATGCCAAACCAATCTTATTTCATTCTTTGACATAGTGACTAATTTAGTAGACCAGTGAAATGCTGTGGACATAATATACTTAGACTTCAGCAAGGTATTTGACAAAGTAGACCACAACCTAATTCTTGGTAAGCTAGAAAAATGTGGGATAGGCAGCATCACCAAAATGGATTTGTAACTGGCTGACAGACTGTACTCAAGTAGTCCTTAATGGTACTACACCTACATGGAGGGAAGTACCACAAGGTTCTGTTTTAGGCCCAATACTCTAAAATATCTTCATAAATGACTTCGATGAGGGAATAGAAGGGGAAATCATTAAACTTGCAGATGACACTAAACTGACAGAAATAGCCAACACCCCAGAAGACAAGTTCATATTCCAAAAAGATCTTAACAGACTTGAAACAATGCGGTCTATCCAACAGAATAAGTTTAATGTGGTGAAAATAAGATTTCATACATAAGCAGGAAAAACCAAAGTTACAAGTACAGATAAGACAAAACCTGCCTCAAAAACAGTAACTGTAAGAGGGATCTTGGAGGCATAGTGGACAATTGCTTAAATATGAGCCAACAGTGTGTGGCAGCAGCCAAAAAAGCTAATACACTCCTTGGTTGTATAAACAGAGGCATAGAATCAAAATCATGTGAAGTATTAGTACCACCTTAGTAAGGACATACCTGGAATACTGCATCCAGTTTTGGTTACCACATTCCAAAAAAGATGTTCAGACTTTGGAAAATGTGCAGAGAAGAGCAACTAAGATGATTAAAGGCCTGGAAACTAAAACATAGAAAGAATGGTTGCAGGATTTGCGTTTGGCTAGTCTAGAAAAAAAAAGGACTAGGGAGGACATGACAGCAGTATTCCAGTATTTGAGGGGCTGCCATAAAAAGAAGGGGGTCAACTTTTTTCCAAAGCACCAGAGGGCAGGACAAGAAACAATGGATGGAAACTAATCAAGGAGAAAAGTGATCTGTCAGAAGTTGTGGGTGCTTCATCACTGTAGGTTTTTAAGATAGTCAGTTGTCTGAAATGGTATAATGTCTTTTGCTTTAGCAGGCAATTGGACTAGAAGACCTCCAAGGTCCCTTTCGTTTTATTTAGATTTATTGATTGATCACTGACTTCCAGATTTCCTCATTGGAAGATCCAAACCATGTCATTACAAAAAAGATGTTGAGACTTTGGAAAATGTGCAGAGAAGAGCAACTAAGATTACTAAAGGCCTGGAAACTAAAATATATGAAGAATGGTTGCAGGATTTGGATTTGGCTAGTCTAGAGAAAAGAAGGACTAGGGGGGACATAACAACAGTATTCCAGTATTTGAGAGGCTGCCAGCTGAGAGACTGCTGAGAGTAGCTGAAGGACTGCTCTCTTCTAGCAAACAGAAAGTTCTCTATCCTACATCAAGTTCCCATACAGAAGTACTGGTTAGTTATAGTTCAGATAATTCTAAACTGCACCCTTTAGAAACTTGCTGTTTGGTTGGGAAACCTGTGTGAAGTAGAGATAACTGTAGACAACACTGTTATAAATATTTTTTAAGAGCTAGGTCATGGAAAATCACTTTTATTTGATATATTCTGAAACCTTGACTTGTTAAACTTCCAGTTTCTTTGTTCAGGAATAATCTCTGAAAGATAAGAAATATAATACTAGTCCTATGAGATGTCTCATAGTTTGTTTATATTTTAAAACAGAATTTAATGGTACAATCAATCTTCCGCATCAGCCATCTTGCTTTAACAGAGTGTTAAAGGATACCAAACCTAATTTTCTAATCTCTTTTGAAAATTGCCTATTACTCATCATAAAGTTATTAGAGACCTTCAGAAGAGTGTTTGAAAAGTCTTCATCAGGTGAGTTTATTTGCAACTATGAACAAAAGAAAGATTACCGTAATTATAAGCTAAACAACTTTAAATTTTTTTAAAATTAACAACTTTCAGGCATTCCTGATACTTGTAGGTAAGGTGACCAATCGTCCTCCTTTAGGGAGGACAGTCCTTCTTTTGTAAGTTCTGTCCTCCCTCGAAAAGTGTCCTCCTACATGTCCTCCTTTTNAAAGAAAGGGTGTATGGTGGGTCGAAGTGGTATATTGGGTTTGTATTTTGGGGGGTATTGTTGACAAGAGGGAGGGCTGTGTTTATTGTTCAATGTTATATGCCCCGGTTTTGCACAGTATATATGTGACTGTACGAAATGAAATGAAAATAAAACATATTTACACAAAAGACTTGCGTGCTTCAAATGCCAGAGTTTCTGAGCCAACATTTTGGTTGCTAAGCAAGTGCATTGTTAAGTGAGTTTCACCATATTTTACAAGTTGGCCATGCCCACCCACATGACTGCCAAACTATTCCCACTCAGTCACATTGCTGGCAAGCCACTCCTGCCTGGTCGCATGGCTGGCAAGCCACTCCCACCCAGTCACATGGCTGGCAAGCCACTCCCACAAAGCAGGCAACACTTACAGAAGAGGTTCTAAATTTTTTTGAAACCCACCACTGTGCTACTTAATGGTGGAATAACTTCCTGGCAGTGGCATGTGAGACAATGAATATATGTGGATGTTTCACATTTAAATTAATTTATTTATTTGAGCAGTTTTTCCCAATACCCACCACCTTGGAGTTTAAGAAGAATGATCCTGACATAATTGAACCATGAAGTTTGATGCATGAATAGCTTACTTTTCCTCATCTCTGTTCCAGAGTAGGTTCATAATGCATTGTAAGTAAGAACCATAGAAATGATAGATACTAGCTCATTACAATATGGGCAACAAAAATATACAGAATGGTTTTTTTTTGTTCCATCTTCATTCCGCTGCTTC